GTATCTTATCAACAAACTAAGGGATTATATTTCAAAATGAAGAATCTAAGTAAGGGGCTTCTATTGGTATATTGTGGCTTCCACCTAATCTGCATCCTTAGTTTGGAAGTGGCAATCCATTATTTATGAATCTAATAATACATTTGGTTTAAGTATCTTGGGAACATTTGGTATTTGTTTCATTATGGGTTTTCACTTAGTTTTAATGTGTTGTGATTTTAATAAGACCTGCCTTGTAATACATAGCATTTTAAGACTAGATTATAATTTATGCACACAAATCCAAATAAGAGAGAATAACTATTGGCTTTCAAATGAAAATAAATTAAAAGATAATTTGATGAAATTGAAACCAGGCTATTATCTGATTACAAGGATATTCCTTAAGAGGTACCTCATGTTTAACCAGAGGAGTCACCTGTTCAGGAGAGCAAGTCCTTCGGCAGGGAAACTGGATTAGATATGGTGACCACAGACTTTATATGTAAAGATGACTCTCCGAGTTCTTCATTGCTTAGAGCTCAAGCACTGGTATTGTAAACTGGAGCAAAACTCAGCATCTGAAATGACAGTAATGGAGGAAGGGTTTAAGCACAAAGTACTTAAAGCAAATTATGTTTTATTCTGACACATTTACCCACAGAGGGAAATTTGCAAAAAGTGATGGGCTTCTGGGGGACTACACAGAACTCTTTGGTGGGCTGGAGAATCACTGAAGCTTTCTCTTCATTACAGAGCTGGCAGATGAAGAGGGGCTGTAATTGCCCCTAGCAGTCAGAGTATCCTATTGAGAAGAACAGTGATATGTCAACATATTTAAAGAAGGGGACTCTTAATTACAAACAGAAATAACCTGAAATATTAGTCAAAACTCGAAGATGAGACTTTTTTTACCCAGTGCAATACCCAAGCAGATGCAGTGAGTGCATAGTGGTGATGGTGGTTATAATGAAATCTGGGGTGGATATTGTGACTTACATTAAAGATGTTTCATAATGTGGATGCAAATGCCATTATGCAAACAAGTGGAAGCCTGACAATTTGTACTTTGTTTTGGGGATCAGAGGCTTTAGATGCCATACTTACAATACATAAAGCATAAAGGAGGTATTCTTTTAATTGAGACTTGACTCATATAAAGGTGAAAAAGCCAAATAAATCTTTGAGAAAAATGAAATATTTCCCCACAGTGCACAGGTAAAACAAAGATCATCACAGGTCACTGAGAATAATAGGAATTTTTAAGAAGAAAGGTTAATTAGAGATATAATAAATCAGAGGTAGTTCTGAAGCCAGTGGAGCAACTGGAAAACAATGCAATTCTCAGACTGATGAGTAATAATTTTGCTTGCATTTTCTAGTCAAAGAAACCTAGAGTGAATGTAGTCTCAGGGAAACAGGAAACACGTTCTAGGAATTCTCGGGAATCATATAATTTTAGAGGATGATGGGAACTTTGAAATTGTTTGTTTCTTTAATCACCAAATGTAGAGACAATGTAACTGAAGATAAGTGATTTGTTCATTGCTGCAAGTCTCATCAGCTGTGGAACCAGAAAACACGTGAGCCAGGAGTTCAGTGCAAGTCTCCTGTTTCCTGTGTGTGTTACTTGTTCAGTGTACTTTGTTATGTCCTAATTGAAGCATGTTAAGATGTTAAAGGATGATTTTATGAATTTATTTTCTTGGTTTCAATTTAGGGTTAGCTTGTAAGTACTTAAAGATGCCAGCCAGTTAACTGGGACTTTTATTATGTATATGGTCCAATGCCCATCATTATCAAAGTTATTCTAAAATATAAGGGCACAGAATAGGCAGGATAATTGCCTGATCACTCCAATTTCATAACACATACCATTTTTATGAAACAAAAGCAGTTTGGCAGATTATTCATTTCTTCTGAGTGGTTTGTTCAAAGTTAAAAATAAGTTGGGAAAGGAAGTTTTCATTCTAGCAATCCTTAATTACCATAGCCATTTTAGGAGGTGACAATGAAGCCAGGAAGAGAATACTGGTAAACACTTTATTATACGTGAACTCTACTCAGTACTCTTACAATTTGGTCTAAGTTAGTAATGTCAAAATGTGGTTGCTATATTGAAATCCTTTTCCTAAGAGTTATCATTTCTAATACCAATATTACTAGTATCTTTAAGAGTAATTTAGCCTATTATTAATTTCATGCTCATAGTCACAATCCTCCTGTGAGGTAGGAAGAACAGTTATCATTATCTATATTTAACGACGAGCAACTTAAGGCACAGAAAAGTTAAGCAGATTTCTCAAGTTCACAGCTCTTTGGTGGAAAAGTCAGGACTAAAATTCAGGTCTTGACTTCCAGCCAAGTTTCTTTCTCCTGGATGTGTTCGTTTGATTTTTAACTTTAAAAAAAGAACCTTATTGGTACTGGTCATACAGTACCGGTTTTGTGTATATGGCTGTTTCTTCTTTAGATTCTAAGCATCATTCATTCTTTATAGAATCTTTCCTCCTCCCTGCCAGTTTGTGAAATTAGAAAGCACTCAATAAATGTTTGTTTTTAAGAATTAAGAACATGAGAATCAGTTACAGGATGCATATTATTTGAGGTAGGACAGTAAGGCATTATGTATAATTAGCTCAATTATTTCTCCCTTCATCACAGTTTAAGAGCTTTTGGTCTAATTAGCAGATACTGGTCAGAAAGCCTACATCAAATTTAGGCTACTATGGGCCTCAGTTTCTTCATTAAAAACATGAAGATGTAGTATTTTTAATATGAGAAAAAGTTTCCATTTTCAGAATTTCATTTCTCAGATGGTAATTAACATTTCCTAAGTTTTACCATATACCAAGCACAGTGCTGAGCAGTTCATTTAGGTTAGCTTTTACAACCTCATAACCCATGGAGTTGGTGCTATTACCATGCTCATTTTTACACATGAGAAAGAAATTGAAGCTTAGAAAGGTTAAATAACTTGCCCAAGATCTTGGCAGCTAATAAAAGTCAGAGGCAGCCAAAAATGGGTCTGACTCCAAAATCTAAGCTATTTTTAATGCTATGTTATATTATACCTATAGCTTTACAATTCTGACACAGCTACATTTTCCAGATGGCTAAAATTCTCCCCTTTGCAAATGTCAATTTCATGCAGACACCCCAAATAGAGAACTATGTTCTGTCATGTCCTACTAAAATAAAAATTCAGTCTAAGGAAACTCCTTTTTGTAGACATTATTTGTTCTAGACCTGAGATTGTATCTTTATGTTATGTACTTTAGGTTGCACCATGTTCCCCACACCCACCTTTTAAGTTTCTTAAATGGTATTTGTTTTTCCTTCAGTTTGTGTGTTCAGACACTGTATGCTTTCTCTATACTTTCCCAAAGCAGAGAAAAGGAAACATTTTTTTAATATTATATTAATAGAAAGCTCTGAATTATTGGGATAATGTTTCAATGAGTGGCTCACTGAACAGGTTTGGTCTTTAATTGATCGCATCTCCCATTGGAACACCACCCCAGGGAGAATGGAGGTCCTGGCGTTTTGATTCTGCCTTCTATCCTTTTATTCAGTTTGGTTTTCAGGATCATAGGAACCAAACAATCAAAGAATGTTAGGCAGGAAAGGATTGAACCCAATTACTCCAACTACCTTCTTTCAGAGTGACAGCTGAGGTCCAGAGTAGTGATTTGCTGAAGCTCCTGTTTTCACATCTGTGTTGTCTCGTCGTCCAAGACTCTACAGTAATAATCAAGTATATCTGAACACCTGATAGCTGATGGAAATTTCTGGACTGGGTGTAAATGTGAGGAAGAATAGGATCTGCTGTTTAAGAGGTAATCTCTGAAGGTAGATTACTTGGATCCCAATCCTTTCTCTGCTGTTTATTAGCTGTGCCCTCTTAGGCAAGTTATTTTCCTGTGATTCTAGTACCATCTTAAGTGGTTTGTCGTGGAGATGGAGTTCCACCTTCAAGGCATTTAAAGCAGCCTTTCAAGTATTTAATGCAGGTGGTTGAACTATCATTAACCATTAGTTTTACCAAAAATTTCAACTGTCAGGTTGTTGAATTTTGAACGAGCCGGGTGTTCTCCTCCGGCATTCTTCCTCTTTTGAAGTCTAATAAATAAAAGCTGACATTTGCATTTTGAAGAAACTCAAATGGCTTACTTTTCTTACGTTTGGGCAAAGAGACTAGATGAACACCACACCACCAAGCACACTGAAGGTACGAGGAAACTACACCTAATTGAGAGTCTGGGGGAGAAGGCGATTCTTGAAGAGATGCTGGCAACGGCGTTTTCTTCTGAAGTGGGTGCTGGCGGTTGGCCTCCAAGGGCTAGAGTGACGCCGAGGGTGCTGGTACGAGATTTGTCTCCTTGGTGTTGGGGGCAGTCGCGGTGCCGAGCTGGGCCAGCCTCACCCCTAAAGGTCCAGGTGGGCTTGAGGGTGACTTAAGAGGCACATGCATCTGAAATTGGCCTCCAGTTTGGGCTTTTTCACAGCGATCCGTAGAAGACAAAGGGACTTATCTAGGTCACTTTTTTGGCTTGTTCCCCGCCTCCCAGCCCCCGCCTCTGTCCCCAACTTCCCCTGCACTGGCTCGACGGCGCCCCTCACTCCGCTCCTTTGGCGGCTACCCTGCTCCCTTTTGTTGTTCGGGTTCCTAAGAGGGGGTGGGCTGGCCGCCGACCCCCGAGTAAGGGGAGTAAAGGATGAAGGGTGACGACTCCCTTCACAATCGAGGCGCGCGCAGCGCCGCCTGCCAGCCGCAACCCGCCGCCTCTAGGGCCCTCGGCCGGGCCTGGCATGGGGGCAGAGCGCGCGCGGCCGGCGCCCTCTGATTGGCTGCGGGCGTCGGGGAGCCGCGCGGCGATTGGGCCGTGGGGCTGTCTGGCGCGAGGGCGCGCGAGGTGTGGAGGGGGTGCCTGGAAGCTGCTGGAAGTCAGGGGGCGGAGCGGGGGCGCGAACGGCAGGGGCGCGGGCGCGAGCGCGGGAGGGGGCGCGGCGCGGGAGGAGGGCCGAGCCGGTCACCGCCCCCGGCCCCTCCCCGGCTCCGCCCCGCGCCGCTCAGACCGCGGGCGGCCCAGGGGAAGACGCGCCGGCTGCATCCCCATCCTCGGCGTCGCCGGGCACAGCGCGCGGGCGAGCGGCGCCGGTGGCCGGAGGGCGGCAGGCGGAGCGCCAGGCCGGCCATGGCCACCACCAGCACCACGGGCTCCACCCTGCTGGAGCCCCTTAGCAACGCCGTGCAGCTACCCATCGACCAGGTACCCGAGGCGCCCTGCTGGCATCGCGCCCTCGCCGCCCCTTCCCCGGCCGTGTGCCATCCGCGCGGGCGCCAGGACCCGGGCGCGGGCTGGAGCGGCGGCCAGCCCTGAAGGGAGGCGGCGATCCTCCGGTCATTGTCCGCCTGCTGCCTTGAGCCAGCTGGCCCTTCCCGGCGTGCCCACCCAGCCCCCATCCCGGCCTGTGCCCGTGTCGCCAGGGTGGCGCCGGGCACCGACGTGCGCGCGTGCATGCCCGGCCCTGCTCCAGCCACAGCAGCGCCCCGACCCGGGTCGTCTTGCATCGGGCGGTCGGCGAACCGGACTTGCGAAGCCGCTTCCAGTCCCTGTGCGCACGGGTGTAGACAGTATCGACACGCTGTGTTTCGGGGTAGCCAGGGTGTCCGTGTCCTGCGCGCGTGGCAGCGAATGCCCACGGGGAAGCAGGCTGCATGCGCCCAAGTGGAGAGAGCTGGGTACGGCGCGTGGCGTGGAGGAGCCCCGCCGAGGGGTCAGCGACCTGCACCCTGGGATAGTTTCCGTTGAAGTGTGGTTCAGTTACCGAGAGGAAGGCAGGGGTTAGGCAGAAGAAGTAAGAGCGAGGTTAAGCCAGGATTTCTAGCTGAGAAAGTTACAACCTTGTTGATAGAAGAAGCCACCCTACCCCCTCTCTCCCACCCCTCAAAAAAGCATTTGATAGTGTACAGGGAATATGGGCATTTAAATGGGGCCAGTTGAGTTTGTATGAAAGGCCTAAGAATTGTTTGAAAAATAAAGGGTATTTTGATGGGCAAAGCAGCACCATTTTTATTCAGAAAAGAAAGTTTGCAAGTATTTTGTAAGAGTGACATTTCGGGAAGTTGTTGATGGGGGTTGGGGATAGATAATCGCTCTAGCCCCAAGCTACAGGTAATTAACTGAAAATTTTACTTAAGAGTTTTTCAAGTGTATTTGATCTACAAGTGTTTGCACTTTACAAGAGATCCTGGTTCACTGTCCTCTTGAAAGTGTTGCTGTCATTCGATGTCATCGGGCATTTCATTTATAATACAGGGTTCCTCTGTGTCCAGACCGCTGTCTCATAGCAGCAGGATTGGAAACGTCTCCTGTGCCTAACATGACAGTGACTGCTTTGTGCTTTACTGTTTAAGAAAAAAAAAAGACTGAAGTGTGTCCATCGAGTATAAAAAATATTCTTTCTGTTCAAATCTGAATTCTTTACTTATTTTTCAGTCACCTTTTGGTTCATAATAAAATACCTATCCCCACAAATCTTGAACAACAGCTACAATGTGTAGCATGCTAGTGAATTTAATCATGTACTGTAAGAAAGCAGTCTTCTCTGTTTATTAATAAACTGATCAGAACTTAGGGTTTTTCATTTTCTCAGTCCTGTGAAGGATGCTCACTTTTTCAAACTGAAGTACAGTGAGTTTTTGGTGTATTACACCCCAGGCTAAGTAGGATACTGCCAGGGTATCAGCAAATGCAGGGTAGGTATCTTAAAATTTCTATTGCTCTTGAGGAGCAAGAGAAATAGGCCTATCGCTTTTTATTTATTTGAGGGAACAGGTATATTCTTTCTCTGCCTACCATGATGAAATACTTTCTTTACTACGCTAATACCTTTTAATTTTCTATACAATGCTTATAACACTTTAAAGTGATTGCATGTTAATAAAGTCATTTAAACATATCAGCCATCCAGAGCAAGTTCTTTTCAGTACTGAAATAAGCAGGAGAATCTAGGGAAGGTGACCAGACTTTAAATTTTTGACCTTCTTCCTTATTATCTACAAGTCTTGATTTGGTACTTTGGACAAACTTCATCTTCTTGGGATTACTCAGAATTTTTATAGCCATTTGCATTTTGAGTTGTTTTTTCTGAGGTAGTCTTAAGAATATTAGATTAATATCACACAAGCCTTAACTTTTTATTGTGAGAATAAGCTGTTTCTTTGAAGCACTAGATAATTGATTTTTTGCTGATAAAGCTCTTGGAATAACTGAAAACTCATATTATAAAATTGGATGAATAAATATTTAGCCATCATTTTAAAATTGAGCAAAATAGAAAACAATTTTTGTACCATGTAAATAATTGAGTCCAAGCTGAGAGAAAGCCTAGAAATTGCTTTTAATCAGATAGTGTGATTTAACAGGAAAAAGGAGATCAGGAGATGAAAAGTATAAAAATATAACTTGTTAGTATGTTGATTTGGTATGTGTTAATTGACAATGTTTTGAAAATTTAGGAAATTTTAAAAGCAGTTGTTTAATGTCACAGGAGAAGAACCTTAGGACCAGAAAAATAGTTCACTAGTTTTTTTACTAGCATGTGTACTTTATGAAATGATAGAAATTATTGGCTTGTTTGGAATATAAGAAGGTACATTGCAAGGTAGGTTGAAGAGAAAGGAGGAAATGTTTTACAATAAAAACAGACAAGGAAAAGGAGCAAAAGATTTTGCCTTACACTCCTGTATTGTTTAATCTTTCCTTAGAATTCCAGAGTGACCTTGGGATAACCATAGTGTTTGTTCAGTGGGCCTTAAATTTAAATAAAAGTATAAAATCTACCTAGTGAAGTTGAATGATGCTTTAAGACAGAAAATACCTAACGTCTGATGTTTCCCCTTCTAGTCCTTGTGTTCCAGGTGAATTTGTTCTAGGGTGGTGGTTCTCATTAAAGGGACATATAAAGGGGGCTTCTGAGGAGGATTTGGATAAGGGAGAGCTGTATGTACCAAAGACAGGGGCCAGACTGCTGTCAGGTGAGACTGGCCTCATCAGACAGTTCTTTTGGGGACAGGGTCATTGTTTAGAGATGATGTGCTGAACTTTTAGGGTGAGGGTAGGGGCAAGAGGAAACTCAAGAATTTTGAAAGCTTTGGAGGAGGGAGGAAAAAATAAAGATAGGTGGGGTCAGGGAGGGAGGACAGCCTGCTGTGAGTTACTGATCCTGCAAAGTCAAGTGATAATTATCCTGGGCAACACCTTACAGCTTACACATATCTCTCATGCATTATATTATTTAACTGAATCTTCACAGCACCTTACAAAGTCAGATAAAATTCAAGGCCTGAAGTTCAGTTATATATACTATATATATATATATATCTTACATATATGTACTTTATACATAATATATGGTATTAAGCATTTGAATAAAAGATCAATTTCAATTCATAGTCTTAATACCAGGCAAATAATTTTGATAGCTGGGTTGTTTTTTTTAGATCTGGATTGCCATTGTATTTTTGGAGGAGAGGATGGCGAGACAGAACTTGCCAAACACCGAAGTGCTGGTGGAAATAGTTGGGATAGGGAAAACCATGTGTATGTAAGAGAAAAGGAGTGTGGAAGCTTATGAAATTGTGGGGTTTTTTTGGTCGGTTTGTTGATTGACCTTTTCTGTATATTTCTCCTGTGTACTATATAGACAACCAATGAACTGAAGTAATATATTAGGAAAAAGAATAGTGTAAAACATTAACTTCTTCAATTCTCCTTTACTTCTGTACACGATGAACCCTATATTGTAAATGAAGAGATAAGTGACATTCCCAGTAGTGAACCTTAAGAATATGACTCCTCTTTTAGGAGATGGAGGTGAATAGCAACAAAAGAAGCAAATCAAGGATTTGTTTTATTTTAAAGTTGCCATTTGAATGCTCTCGTTTTAGGACATAAATACTGAACTTGTTTGTCTATCCTGCCTGCCTCTCCACCCATAAGGAGCATGTCTTTATCATGAGAACCCTGAAATGCTGACAATCTGCCATGGAAGATTCCTTTTAATAAGGAAGGCATATGGGACAAAAAAGCTTGCATCTGTATTTTAGACCCTGTCACTTGACTAATTTTAGATATGTCACTTTACATAAATGAGTTTTCTCCTGTGTAAAATGTGTGTTGTGCTTAGTTTTAAAATTCCGTGATTCTTTGGTTGTTTCACTAACTGAAGAAGCTGCCCCAAATTCTTTTTTGACTGAGTTGGAGGGAATATAAATACCAACTTAAGGGAGGAAAATGGGCTAATAAATTTTGTGGATGTTTTCAACAGTAAGAGTTGACACTGCGTCTCTTTAATCAGAAGCAGCTAAGCTAAGTACCACATACCCTGAAAATGGCAGTTAATGGTGGTGTCCTGTCTTCTGTCGCCCTTTATCCATAAAGGAGGAGTGCGATGGTGTCTCAGAAATGGCACTGTTGGGTTTGAAACCAGGCTCTGCTGGTCTTGTGCTCTTTGGCAAATTACTGTATTTTTCTTTCAGCCCAGTTTTCTCATCTGCAAAATAAAGATAATAAATAGTATTACTTGTAGATTGTTGTGAAGATTAAAACAGATCATCTATGTAAAGTGCCTGGCTCCCAGTATATGTTCCACACACAGTCCTTTTTACCCTTTACAAATTATGAAATATTTGGAGTTTATATTTTTATTGTATTTATGAAATATTTGGAGTTTAATATGTGAGAAGTTACTATCTGTTCACGTATATCCCATTTTTAATCTTCAGGACTTCCTTTTTAGGGAGGGAAATCAGAGGCTGAGGTTCAGTGGTTTGCCCACACAGTGATTAAACTAGGATTAAATCTAGTTTTGAATTTGGAGTCACATGTGGTTTTTCTGCTTCTTTACTGTTTCAAGAGTTCTTTGTCCCCTTGTTTTTAAAAAAAGCTTCCTGTGTTGTCACCGCCTCGATAGGTACAAATAACCCTTGTCTCTGTTTATTGTGGTCCATCAGGATTGACTTTCCAGGGAAATAATGAAAACAGCTCACACAGAACTTTTGCCTGAAGTCTGTGTAACAGGTTGGATTCTATAATCATAGAATTTGGCAAGATTTCTTCAAAGTAAGACAAGCCATAAACATGGCCCCCAGAAGAGTGATCATGTAATGGTTTTGTGAATGCCACAGGTGAAGCTTGGAGTTATGCTTTGGTAAATAGGTAGGGTGTGGAGGGGGGAAACCAGCTAACGGGTGAAGAGATGCAGT